GGCGGCGGCGAGCGCGAGCGCGACCGAGGCGGCGGCGCGGCGGCCAACGGCGCGGGCGCCTCCTCCGCCTCGGCCTCCGCCTCCGCGCAGGGCAAGCGCGGCCCCTTCGCGCGGAGCCTCTCCAACGCCGACGTGCCGCCCGACGAGAAGGCCGGTGAGTCTCCCAGCTGCCGCAGATCGTCTCTGCTACTTGCTCGCTACCGCTTACGCGCTACGGCAGGGTTGTTCAACTGGCCGCGAAAGATTATTAGTCAAACGTGAAGGCCCCCTGCATCCAGGACGGGCGAGAATAGCTAGCACATGCGCCCTGCCGGGATCAACTCCCCTTTACTGTACAAATAGGTTAAGCCGAGATATAAGAATTTTCTTTCTAGTTCATTCAGAAATTCAAAATCATCCCAATTTGTTTCATTGTGTTATGCATGGTATGGTCTCACGTAACGTGTAGTTCAATTCCGCTTAACCCAAACTGCTTTCAGAGCAATGAGCCGAGATCAACAGTACGGGGAAGTTAAGACTGGATCGCCCGAGTAATGAAAATATGACCCGCAACCATATTAAGGGTATTAGATGTGGCCCTTTGCATCTTGCAAGTTGAACACCCCTGAACATGGATGGGAGAAAGCTATGTAATGCTAAGAGAAAAGACGGCGAATTTTCGGCAGAAAAACTCTTATTGCAGGGCCCTGGTAACGAAATAGCGGATACATCCAGTTGCTAAATTTGGAATTTAAAAAATTCTTCACCACGTGCTGTAGCCAGAATCTATGTTTTGTGGGTCATAGATAACGAAAACTCGAATGAAGGCTACCTGTTCGACCGTGTGCAACGTTAGCGGCTAAACCGTTCAGTTGATTTTCTCCAAAATTGATATTCCTCTATCGATTTGGTTGTGTCGCGGTCCCTTGAATTTGAAACCAGTATTTTCATTTTGAGGGGTACTTTACATGAACCCCTTGGGACATTTCCAAATTTTCTGGCTTCAGCATTTTTTATTAATTTTTTTGTTGGATAGGGTGAAGATCGTTTTAAAGGAATAGTGTAGATCACATAACACTGATTTGTCGAAAATTGCAAAAATTCAAAAATGTGTTGACGTCTTCCTACAACTACAATAAATAAGAGATAATTTTGTTCTGTAATGAAATCTGTTCGTAAAGATAGACTTTGTAAAACGTTCATGAACAAATTTTTCGGAAATCTGAGTACTTTTTGCGTAATTTTGTGCTAAAGTACGTGCTGTTTTAGCTCTACTAGTTTTTTGCGATTAGCGAGTTTGCGATCGATCTTGTGAGTACCAGCCGATTACTTTTGTCTCTACAGCAACTTGGGCCGGGAAGTCCTAGGTCCAGGTCCGATGGTGGCGAATTTTCTACCTTAGTTTTATACCTAGGTTCAAATAAGTCTCTATCTCGAGGAAAATTCTAGCAGGTGACTATTTCCATCGATAGTTTTCCTTCTTTTTTTTCTAACAATCCCAGGTCATTGCCGGAGCAGTACCCAAATAAATAGGTCACAGACCGCGTGCAATCTTTCCTTTCTTTCTTTCTCTTTTTTTTTCTTTCGCGTTCTTTTTTTCTTTCGCGTTCTTTTTTTCTTTCGCGTTCTTTCTTTCTTTTTCTTTCTTTCGCGTTCTTTCTTTCTTTTTCTTTCTTTCTTTCTTTCTTTCTTTCTTTCTTTCTCTCTTTAGTTACACTTACATACACTGCACTACCACGCGAAGAAGACCAGGTTAGCTTGTCACGGCTGAGGCGGTGCCTCGCTGGCGGCAGATACCTGGAAGGGTATCTTTCGCAAGCTGATTTGTAAGTCTGCGCATGATATTACCATCCATCAAGGGGGATCACCAACTGGATAATCCAGGATATGTTACTCAGGGCATTAACTGATGCCACTGCAGTGCTTCAGACCGGGAGATTCTAGGTTATAATCCCGACAGTGGGAGTATTTTCGATACCAGCTTCAGAGCTAGGTCGAATTCATCCGCTGTTTGGAGGAGAATTCTAGCGGCCAGCTGCTCTGATCGATAGTTTTCCGTGGTTCCTCCGATCAACACTAGGCGAATGCCGGAGCAGTACTATAACAAAAGCGCCACGGACCGTGCGTGATCTTTCCTTCCTCCTCCTTGCCCAATCCTCTCCCATTACATACACTTACACTAACATGCACTACACTACCAAACATGTCAGGGGACCGGTCGAGAGCTTGACCCAACTGGAGTGCTGCACCCCCCCCCCCCCGCTGGTGAGAAATACCTCGTTGGGGAAATTCCCGCTAGCCTACGGTAGGTCGGCGCCGGATATCACTATCCAGCGAGGGAAGATCACCGCCACCTCCCGAGAAAAAGCATGCACTGCACTTACAGGACTAATGATCTAAACAGTTGACGCGCCCCGAATCACTAATCAAACACTAGGATAAAAAACACTACACTAACCTGATAAATCATTCAATCAAAACATGTGGTAAGAAATGTCGAATAACCAAGTTACATGTGATATTTGCCTTTGATTGGTTGTCAACCCTTTATACACTAATGTTTTACAGGTCACAATCCCACGAAGTCAAAGTGATTTTCATACCGTTTCTAACTGGTTTCTAAATAACTGGGAACTTTAATCCCTCAAAATTCTCGTCTCACACGGAGGTAGCACATAACACACATGGAGTCCTACTTAAATTATATCGGCTGGTTAATGGGGAATCCTCTCTAAAACACAGCATTCTTTGCTTCTCGACAAATCAACTCTAGGACTCTCCATTACATATGCAGTCCAAATAGGAGGAGATAATGTACATTCCATACAGAAATCCTTATAGACATTTCAAACTAAAGTGTTACGTACAATTATCATCGGCAGAGGTGATGTCCTCGTTCAGGAATAAGATTTTAATTGCAGATTCAGTTCGGGCCCCAGTTGTGTGACCTCTCATAGTGTTAAATGTTTTTCTCTTCTAATCCTCTCCTGCAAAGTGTCTGTCCGGCGTATCCTATTGAAGTGAATTTATTAAAGAGATCATCTACCTGCCGAACACCAGTGTAAGATAAGTTTCATATCATGGGCCAATGTCGGATGTAATAATTATCATTGTAAGAAATTTCACAGCACATATTCATTGGCAAACAATTGACTTCCCTGCGTGCCCTACAAGAGAGTAACATTTATTCTGACATGTGAGTCACTTGTAGCGTGAATAAAGAGACAAGTCAACTTTTCTTAATGCTCATTTTTTTACAAAATTTACGTTATGTCCATAAATGCACATTTACTAAGTACTCAATGAGCAAAAGAAATTTAATTTAGAGTATAAAGTATTTTAGAAATTAATTACTAGTCTAGAATCTACTGTCACCTGATGGTAAGATATTTTGTTCCTTTGCAAAATTTTGTTTTTGCGATTTATCAACATAATCACATGGATCAAAGAAAAATATACATCAAATGTAAAAGAAATTGGAGTGTACACTTTCAGAGGGATTCAACAATATTAATACTTTATTGCCAGAGTTCAATTCACTGCACGCTCACAATGTCGATTAGCCAGTGCGTATAGAGTCATTGTTAGAGCTATCTGGAAGCATGTGTTAACATGCTACCATATGTCAATCCATTCATTCCACACTCTTTTTCGTGATTATATAAAAAAATTAATAATTCGTGAAAACTATTCCCAACTTAACTGTTTTCCCTGAATTGACACTCTCGAATAGTATCTGCAGGTAGCTGGTGCTCTATCCTACCTGGCTGGCAAAATAATACAATTCGCAAAGCGATGCGGTCACCGACGATGCTCAACTGTTTTAGAATCTAACACAAAACCGGGCAACATCCTTGATCTACAGGGTGCACGGCCAAAATCCGGACAAATTGAACATTTTTCTTTACACTATATTTTTTGTTGTAAACATGAAAAATTAAACAAAATGTTTTTACCACGTAATGTATAGGATCATATGGAATAAATTTATTCTATATATCCCCCACTTGCTTGAACGACCGCCTCCAATCTGGGTCTGAACCGCTCGCAGGCACGGTGCAAGGCATTACGGTCCATTTCGGCGAATGCTGCTTCAATAGCGACTCGGAGAGATGCTACGTTCGGGTGTCTCGACTTGTTTGTCACTCTCTCAACCACGCTCCATACATAATAATCCAACGGATTTAAATCTGGGCTGTTGGGAGGCCAGAATTCCTTCGACCAAAACATGTCGATATTGTCCGATAACCAATTCTGCACCAAATGACTCGTATGGGCGGGCGCACCGTCTTGCTGGAACACATATGGCCTTCCAAATGCTACGTTGTCCATCCACGGCTTCACAACGTTAGATAAGACATTCACATAAACCTCCTTGGTCACATTTTCCCCTTTTTGGAAGAAATGAGGTGGCATAACATCACCTTCGGACGAAACAACTCCTAGCACGTGCACATTGGCCGGAAATTTTGTTCTCGATACCACAGGGACATCCTCAGGGTCGCGGGCAAGCCAGCGGTCATTTCTTCGATTAATTTTTGCGTCTACCGTAAAAATTTTCTCGTCGGAAAAAAATCTGATTCGTCCAGCCGCCTTGTTCCGTAAGGAGCACAAAAGAAGATTGCACCGTTCAACTCTCTTCGTCCTGGCGGCTTCAGAAAGCATCTGTCGAACTTTGATGGTGTAGGACTTGTAACGGAGGTCTTCCTGGACAATCTGACGCATAGTTGTCTCACTTATTCCGACAAGCGACGCAATTTTTCGGATCGATTGTCCTGGATCCTCAAAAATCAGTTCTTGAACGCGTTGAATGACTTCTGGCGTCCTGACTACGCGCTCCTTCGAGTGCACTTTTCTCGCGGGTGTTAGGAGACCTTCCTCTGACTTCTCCGACTCCTTGTATTTTGCCACGACATCATACACTGTCGATCTCGGATATCCGAAGAAGCTGATAATCTCCGTCGCTGAGCGACCAGCGCGAACACTTTCAATTATCGCTGCTCTTCGATTGTATTCTTCGCTTTGTCTCAACATTGCGACTGTTTTGAGGTTATGTCTGCTTAGTAGATGGGTATACGATATTCATGTAACAATCGCGACATCTTTAGGTGGCATAAAAGCGCGGGAGATTCAAATCTAATTTTGTCCGGATTTTGACCGCGGACCCTGTACTGT